AAGATTACTTCAGGAAATTGTGTCCATTCAACATTTTCATTGTTACCAAGGTGGTTGCTATCGATATTATTTCTGTTATGTTGTGTAACTGTTTAATGGTGTTATTTTTAATGCTACCCCCTTCCCCGTCAATTTATAGTGTTGGTCCACAGCGCAAACGTATTAGTTTAACAAAATCCGCATCTAAAATTGTGGCATAGATACGTTATTTCCCCCTGTGCAATTCTCTAACCCAGTCTCACATCTCACATCACATCGTCATAAACAAATACCGGAAACAGACCAAAAACATTTTTTTTAAATAATACTTTATTCGGAGTGTGCTTGCTTTTCTCTTTGAAAGTCATCACATAACGGCATTGTAATAAACTGTTCGGCTGCATTAAATATTACATATCTGCCGTAGTTCTCTATGTATAGAGCCCTGATGAGAAGACTTCTAGACAAACTGGAAGACCTGCGGCCAAAACTGAAAACGTGACGTGGATCATAAATATATCAGCAATAAAACAACATCTTCCATTTCTTTTCACACAATACGTCTCCTTGCAGTATCAACACTAATTCGGCTGACTTTTATATTTGATCCAATTGGTAGATAGGCTGTATTTACACCATAAACGTGCACAGCTAATATAAAGGGACACCTAGTGGTTAAAGCATGTTATTGAATTTCATTATTTGTATTATTAGATATTAATAGGATCCCTATAAAGCAGGGGTATTCAACTAAAATTCAACGAGGTCCAGTTAGAGAAAATCTCCCCATGCAAAGGTCCGGAACATCAAAATGTCTAAGTTGCTTTATGAATTAGTGTGATATATATTGAAGTAGCCTGCAGCTTTATCAACGTCTGCATGTAATCAACAACTGACTGCCAATCAAATAAAGAAAGTACAATTCAAAAACAACAATATGTATTGTCTATTAACATTGAACTATACAGATACACAGTAAATACTGTGGATATGTGTAATGTTCCTTTTGGGCTGCATTTAAAAAATAAAATAGAGAAAATAAATAAAATAGCTTTTGAAAATATGTGCATCTTAAAAGTGCTTAATTTTAGATAAATAAAATAAAGTGTAGCAGCAGCTTGAGTGTCCCTTTTTCTTTGTTAACCGTTTCACATCATGACCTAACTTTTTCAGCCTATAGAACAATATCAGTCTTTACACATCACAACAATTGAACAGTTTTAAAGTTTCTCTTTCTTTCCCTCTTATATTGCAGTCCCTCACTCGCTTTTTTTAATTCAGTGCGAGAATTGAGCTCCAGCTTGTCCTGCCAGGAGTTTAAATCTGGGCTGAAATGGTGTCAGGGCCATTCTCATACACACATGCAGGTGCTCATTGGTTAGCCTCGGTTAGCCTGCGCTGGAACGATATTTAGTTTTAATTTTGATCCTGGTGGACTGATCATATTGGGCTCTGAGACTGCTTATTTTTTGTGACCTCAGTTCTGAATTGAGAGGGAATGTTTGGTCAAACACTTTGTGTTTTGTCTCATAGTGGCATTTTGGCACTTTTAATGAGCGCCACGGTCTCTGAACAAATGAGACACACCGGTTCTTTGCTCCCAGTGGGCAGGATGAACATGAACGAGTCCGTCCACTCAGGGTTAAAAGCTCTGTTCTCACTGTCCACTTTTCTCTTCTTGGAGAGCGCCATGTGTAATTATTTGTCTCTCCCTGTCTGCCGCTAACACGCCTGTTCACTCTCCTCTCCGTCTTCTCTCCCTGTATCGCTAATTATTCTCTTCACTCACTTTCCTCTGCGCTTCTCTCTGCCGCGCTTTCATCTCTTCTTCTGTGTTTCTCTCCCTGTATCGCTCCCTCGTCTCTTTCGCCCCCTGTCGGTGGCGGTTAAAATAGAATCGCCCCGTCAAAATTGAAATCCCCTATTAATGTATTGATTATAGGTCCGGGTCCGTACAGGTCGGCGTCTGGGTCCGGATCCGGACCGCGGTCCGCCTGTTGCCGACCCCTGCTATAAAGTTAATTAGCTATAAATAGTTCATTAAAGACTGTATACAATGACTATTTTGCACATCCCTTTCAAGATTTCAAGATTTTCTAAGGTTTATTGACATATCATATACACAACTTGTGTTTTTCAAGTTTTTCATTCATTGCATAACTATGCAATCTATATCTATATGGCGCTGATTTTAGCTATCTCTTAGTGGAGGAAAACAGTTATGACATCACTTACGTGACTCTGGGATTTGTAGTCTTTCTAGTTGCGTATTTTTCATAGTCTTATATTTCAACAGTTTTATGACAAACTGACCTTTCCGAAATAAGGTCCCATGGACCGGAAGTAGATGGGCGTGACTTCGCCACTCTATAGGACGTACACACAGTGGCGGCGCCAGAGATTTCCTCTAGGGGGTGCTGTGGGGTAGCTTGACGTTTCATAGAGGGTGCTCAAACATTTAGGGTTTCCCATTAATGCACCAGCGCTACAGTTGAATTGTCTACTGCAGGGGTGCCCAACCTTTTTTGAACCGAGAGCTACTTTTAAAGTTGCCAGTCTGCCGAGATCTACCAGTCCAAATAGAGAGGCGTAGCCATTACTGACAGCCTACTACCAGGTAAATACACACTACTTGTATAAAACTGACCTTTCTACAATGAATACTTCATAAAATACTGCAGATCCTTTATCTTACCTCTTTCTAATCTACACACATACAAGTATTTAACTGAAGTTACACAAGTGTTGTTGATACAGAGTTGGAGTTTATTCACACGTCACATACTACAGTGGGTCATGTTTTCAAGAAACATTGAAGTGCTGCCACATATGACACAGGAAAAAAAGAAAAGACTCTGAACCCTTTATTTGCCATTATATAAAAATAGTGTTGCTACAAAAGTATAAATGAGGCTTACTAATAAGACAACTCAGATCTGAAGCTACACAGGAATCTGCTGCCAAAGTGCAATAAAAAAGACAAAATTAATAGAATCAAACCCTTTTTTTGTTGCATTTTAGTAGATTATAAAAAGAAATGCCTTTAAAATAGGATGCAAGCAACACTAGTTTCTTAACCTGAATTGATAATAGACTAATCAATTTAAACAGAACATATCTTAATGTTTGCATTCTTATACCATGTTGTACAATAATTATAATGAATAAGTTCAAACAAACTAAAACTTAAAGCTGATTAATAGCGGTATCTAACTTGAGTTTTTATTATATCAAAAACCTGTTGAAATGCTACCGTTTTTTACTGTCCCCCAAAAGCGCGTCGGCAGCCTCCAGGACTGCTTCTTTCACAACTTCGCCATCTTTGAAAGACTGCATGTGTTTGGCAAGAACGTGACTGACACGATAAGATGCTCTGGTAGCAGCAGCCTTGCTCTTGTTGTTGGGCCCTGGTGAAAATGGACTGCTGTGCATTTAGCTGTCCTTTCAGGCCCCTCCCCTTTTGGAGCGTAGGGCAGAATTAGGAGGGAATTCCGTCTCGTAGCGTTTGTGCACTGTTTTGAAATGCCGCTCCTAAATTACCCTTCTTCGATAAAGCCACGCTCGCATTGCAGATGAGACAGATGGACTTTGAATTGGAATAGATACAAAAATAATCATCCTCCCACTCGGAGTGAGAATTATATATGTTTTGCTTCTGCCATAATTGCGGTCTTGTGTGTGTGCGGCCTGTCACTCCTGTGTTGACACGGACAACGTTAGCGAACTAGTGCAGTGCACACTGCCCACTGCTCACCAGCCACGCCCCGACACATGGGGTCACGCCGGCCAATCACAAAGCTTTGATGCGTTCAAGTGCATTATTCTGGCACAGGAAGATTATGTTACAGGACATTAACGATAAAACAGAATATTGTTGTTCTATTTTTAGACACATCTCGCGATCGACTGGGAATCTCCCCGCGATCGACCGGTCGATCGCGATCGACTGGTTGGGCACCCCTGGTCTACTGCAACACTCCCCACACACACACACACACACACACACACACACACACACACACACACACACACACACACACACACACACACACACACACACACACACACACACACACACACACACACACACACACACACACACACACACACACACACACACACACACACACACACACACACACACACACACACACACACACACACACACACACACACACACACAGTGCACCCGCGACTGTTACAATGAAGGCTCGATAATCAGCTCACGGCATATAGGCAGGGGTAAAGTGCTATTTTTACAAGTGGAGAGCGGACCTCACCTCCTCTAGGAGGGTCCTCACCTCCTCTAGGGGGGTCCGGGGGCATGCTCCCCCGGGAAGATTTGTTTTTAAATATTGAAGTTAAAAGCATCAATCTGGTGCACTTTGAGAGCAACATTAAGAGATCTATGGATACATCTCTCAATACCCATACGAAACAGAACTGTCAACAGATTTACTTTTTCTTTATAGATATTTTACAAATCACTCCCCTTTTAAAACAAACCGTTTGAGACCCACTGAGATAACTAGACTAAAGTGAACCATCTAAACACTGAGAGAGTCCTTTACTTCACCTGAGCTGAGGTTACCTGAGACTCTCCGTCTGACAGGAGAGAGTTCTCTCTCCACCTTGTTGTTGAAAAAGCTCCTTATATCCGTTAGCTTGGCTAGCTAGCACCAGATGCTAACCACTGTCACTACCCGATCTGCAGCTCTGCCCGATCTGCAGTGCGCATGTGCGAGATGGTCCACCATATTGGACAACTCCGGACGGCAACCCAAGATGGACACTTGACCAGTGGCGAGCCGTGACTTTTCTACCTAGGCCCTCTGACCCCACCCCCCTCTTCCCTCGAAAAAAAAAAAAGAAAACGTTTTTACGTCACAGCCTATAATATACTTCAGCGGAATATCAAAACAGCGGCCCGGGGTGCAAAACGCATCAATGACAGCGACCCTCTACCACACAAAACAACACCATTTATATACACACCTATCATGACAGGATACCCACAGCCAAGTAACAATTACAAATGAATTAAGTCGGCACGGCGGCCCACATTGAAAATCACTTTGACTTACCTTTGATGATCAAATCACCTAAACACAAAGTCCATCCTCCTGTCTTTTTGGATGAAGAACTTGATGGCGTCGTCATGCAGCTGATCCTTTGCTTTTAAAGCAATCAGCAATTCCTTCTCGATCGAAATTAAGGCCAAGTCTGACAGTCGGACTTGCCCAGTCGTGGACCTCGAGTAGCTTTTTATGCGCTTCAGCGCAGAGAAGGACCTCTCCACAGAGGCAGTGGACACAGGTATTGTCAGGATGATGCATGAGAGGGTGTACACCTGTTTCATGCTTTCACTCAGTCCTTTTTTGAGGAGAAACTGATGAATGTCGGCTGGGCTTTTCCCCAAAATGTCAGACATGCCGTACATCACGGCGAGTTCCGTGTGCAGTCGAGGCTGGTCGAAATATCCGCCATAGCTCTCCATCAAACTGTTCAAGGCAGCAGTTGGGAAATAGTTACAGTAATGCCCGAACTGTTGCGGGTCCAGAAGGGCCAGGAATTCCAGCTTTTTGTGGTCACTGAAGCGGTTGGAAATCTGGGTTAGCAGGCTGTCAATTACGCTGCAGTGGAGCTCCCTGTACCGTGCACGAACGTCTCCTTGAGCTCCACGGCCGCGCGGAGGACCAACCAAAGCCTGGGTTTCATCGTAGACGCTGTCAAAGTTCCCCTTCTCCTGTTCAATTTGTCGCTGTAGCTGATCCACTCTGGCCAGGCAGAACTGCATATCAAAACCTTTGTTCTGAAGTATTTCAAAAACAACATCCGAGTAGGAGAAGATAGCGTGGAAGGTTTTCAACCAAAAGCTGAAATCGAAGCTGGTAAGGAGGGTGATGTATCCATCAGAGCAATGAACAGTTTCGTCATCAAACTCTGTGTGATGGTCTACGATGTGCTCGAACACCTACGAGAGTAATGCTTAGTTTAGAAAAAACAACTTATAGACCTCCAGTAAACACTAAGATTAGCTTTTCATTTAATGTAATACTAGCATAGTTCTTTACCTTCATGTTTTTATGAGTGGGTAGTTTCCAACACTAAATCATTTCTTTATTATTGTTAATATTTCCATTACGTTCATTGTTATTATTATCTTACCTCTCTCAATTCCCTGGTCTTCTCTGCCACTGTGCACACCAAGCGAGAATGAAAGCACCAGCGAGTAGGAGCTGCCCGTGGAAGCCTATGCTGGCAAATATCATCCAGTAGCTTGGTGCGCTTTGCTGAGCGGCTGAAAAAGGTGGCCAAGCCAGAGAGGTGGGAGAAGAAGACCTTACACTCTCTTATCTTGGAAGCTCCCTTTGACAAGACGAGATTTAAGATGTGAGCATAGCAGTGAATGAAAAGGGCCTGTGGAATTGTTTCCTTAACTTTCGCTTGCACCCCATTCAATCCAGAGGCCATAACAGCTGCTCCATCGTAGCACTGCGCGACCACTTTGTCAATACAGCCACTCTCCCTCAGGAACTCCAGCAGCCGTGTAGCTATGGCCTCTGCTCGTTTGTCCTCTGTCACATCTTCGTACTTGAAGAAACGCTCTTTTATCCCATCGTCAGTGACATATCGAAGCACATATGACATCTGCGCCACGTTGCTAATGTCTGTCGTTTCATCCAACATGACCGCAACAAAAGGTGCCTTCCTCAGCTCCTCTTTCATGCTATCCGTCATTACACTAGCGACAGCGCTGATCAGGTCATTCTGAATCCTTGAAGATGTGCCGGTAAATACTGTTGATGTGGCGAGGTGTGTGTGCAGGTCGCTGTCATATTCTGCCACTAAATCCAGCAACTCTATGTAATTCCCCTTGTTTGATGAAGTTACACTCTCATCGTGACCTCGGAACGGCAACTCCTGCTTGCCCAAGTACACCACACAATTTATCAGGCGTTTCAAAATTCCTCGGTTCCTCTTCACCTTTTCATTATGAAGGATGACACCCCGGCGTTGTTGCTCATCCAGCTGGAGCTCTATCCTGGTGTCCCCAAATGTTTTAAGCCGAATAGTAGCTCTGAGGTGACCTGAAGCATTCTGATGGCGATGTGCTGATTTGGATAAACTTCCTAAATCAGAATATCCATCTCTGGCCCATGACCCACTGTCCGCTCCAAAAAGCAAGCAATCCCAGCAGTACAGCTTGTGTTCCCTGGTTGATCCGGTCATCCAGTTGTATCTGGCGTAATTGCCGATATTAAAATGCCTCTCGAACCGTTTGGGTTTTTGAACCAAATTAAGCTGTGGTGTTGGTCGCCCTTTGGTAATTAACTCCAATTTATCCGTGTAACTCATTCTTGAAAAAGACTCGGTTAGTAGTTTCGCAACGATGTCATCACTATCACTAACGTCAGCCATCGTGAATGAACGTATGCTAATTCCGCCTAGCTTGACCCGTTGATATATCACATGCATAAACTTGGCAGCGCAGTGGGCGGAACTTGTCATAAAGTCCGCGATAATAAAGCCCTCCCATTTAGAGGGAAGATATGATTGGTCAATTGTACTGTCACTTGACATTACTCTCTCGTTGTTTTACTATAGCGGGCCCTCTGTGAATCGCATAGAGGGCCAGACGAGCTTTTTTCATGTAACCCTTCACATTCAAACAGAAACTGAACAGGCAGATTCGAAGGATTTATTTCTTTGGAAATTTTATTTTAAATACAATTAAATCAAGTTTTTTCGGTAAAAATATAACACAAATAATATTTAAAAAATATATATTTAAAAAAAATAATATTTTTTAAAAATGTTTTTTAATATTATTTTTTAGAATATCTTAGGCCCTCACAGAGGGCCTAGAGGGCCCTGACGGCTCGCCACTGCACTTGACACAGTGGCTTTTAGCAAAGCTCAAAAATAAAACGAGAGATGAGTTATTGTTATTACAATGTGACTTCACTATTATTTAACAACTCTTTTTATGGGGTTCTTTTATTTGGGGTTAAGTACATTGTCAGAATAAGTGATAAATGAATTTAACTTCTGTTAGACAGCTATATGCCATACGTTTTTGCACACATTCACAGTAAATATGTATTCAGTATGATAGCTGTCTAACAGAAGTTAAATCCATTTCTCACTTATTATGACAATGTACTTAACCCCAAATAAACGAACCCAATAAAAAGAGTTGTTAAATAATAGTGAAGTCACGTTGTAATAACAATAACTCATCCCTCTCGAGTTTTCCTTTTTAGCTTTGCCAAAAGCCACTGTGTCAATGTTGTCCTATTTGGGTTGCCGTCCGGAGTTGTCCAATATGGCGGACCATCTCGCACATGCGCACTGCAGATCGGGCAGAGCTGCAGATCGGGTAGTGACAACCACAACGATCTCCGGTAGATACCCACTGGTGCGCGAGGCGAGCTCTCTCGCTCGCTCGCGCACGCACGCACACAAAATGGCTCGTGCCACACACACACACACACACACACACACACACACACACACACACACACAGAGCAGGGCTTGAATGAAACACAGAGACCCAGAAGTAAGCTACTTGTACTCACGAGGCCTATTATGTGCAGAATCCCTCTCGCTTTCAGTTGGTTTTGATTGAGTGTCCACACGTGTACGTTTAAGGATTAAAAACGATCAATTTTTCACTTTGCTGTTAGCAAATCATTTGGCGCTCTAGCTAACAGGAAGTCACCCACGTGTCACAATGTAATTTAGTCTATGGGTAGGTCAAAAATCGAATGGGTGCTGGCCATTGGCCTAATCATATCACCTGTGTTGGCTTTATGTTTTTGGTCAAAATGTGTTTGTTTCACATATGCATTGATGTAATCAATAATATTTCTAATTTAATTTAATAAAAATAATAATAATAATTTTTGAAGAAAAAAAAAAACACATATTTCTTGGGGGTGCTTAGGGGGTGCTTTGGCAATCCTGGGGGGTGCTTCAGCACCCCCTAGCTCCCTCCTGGGGCCGCCCCTGCGTACACACGGAGCCGTTTGGCCCCCCAGAGCGTTTCGCAGATCTATCCACCTTGGGAGCCGTTATCGTTTGAGGGCTCCGTTTCCGCGGTTCCGTTACGGCCTCGTTTGGACGAACCGTCCATACGATAGAGAACTGTAGCAGATACAACCCGTTTCGTCCTAAAACACATCATCATTGCTCATTATTACTGTCAGGATGGAAGTTTAAGTTTGTGTCAAACCAGAAAGTATGTTTTGTTTTAGTGTGGGTCATTACTTTGTCTCCCTGAGTTTACTCCCAACATTTTAAAATATGCAGATGAGTTGAACAAACAAATCTTGCTTGAAAACAAATTGTATTTGTGTTTATGCGTATTGTTTGCATGTATGGAAGCTTATTATAATGAGGTTGCTCTGGTGCAAAGTTAAAATTGCAAAAATGAATAAACAATTAGTATCACTGGGCCCCCTATGGCTTTGGAAATAAGTGCAGTTGCCCCCCCCCCCTGCACCCTGATAGTAACTTCCTGCCATCAATACTATTTCATGTCCCCTTGTGGTTCTATGGCATGACAAGTGACACACGCAGGGACATCCTATTCTGCATCGCACCACTGTCTCCTATGGAGGCCTTTACCTGAAAGAGTTCCACCATTAGGTAACTGGAAACATTTCAAAGAAAATAGACTTTCTGTTCTCACTGCAGGCTCAGTCTGCTCGCAGTTATTCCACATGACATCCTCGAGTGTTGCTCTCGAAAAAGATTCCTCTAAGGTCTCCAAATGTGCGACCCTGCCAACCTTGGTCATCTATTCTTAGACCACTCCCTGTAGTAGTGGTTAGCAAATCTCATTGTCATGGACTAAACCAGGCATTAGACCTCTTCATATATCCATCCCCATAAACACAGAGTTATTAAGGCTTCTATTTTTAGGATCCTTTGAATGGAAGAATCCATTAAGTATAGCATTATCACCAAATCAATATGACATCCTGTTGTTTGAGTAAAGGTATTGATTTTACAGCATCGATTGCAAGATTACAAATTCAATTTATTTTCATGGGGTGCTGACTTTTCACCTTTATTTTTAAAGCAGTGACAACATAATGAAGCTGCAGTCAATTGAATTACTCCCTTGCATTAATGACCCACAGGCTAAGCCTATATTTTATGTAGACTACTTTCACCTCACAGCTACAATTTTCTCCAGTCTGTTGGCAAGCTTGGTCCTCTCGCTTCTCTCATAGCCTAAATAAGTGTTCCGGATTTATGGCAAAAACAGACTTTCTATTGACTTTACAACGAAAAACAGGAACTGTGAGTTATCTTGCAATATGCACATGAAATAAGCTGTTGAAAGTATCACAGTTCCTATTGGAGATCAGCGTTTTATATTGGAGCGTTTTATGATTGACAGATTTGGTTTGTGAGAAACTACTTGATCATCCGAAAGCTGTCACAGTCAACTTACTCATGAATATTTCTTTATAGCACCAGTTTTATTGCAAAAAGGGACTTTCAAAAGACTTTCACTGGACACTCCCCTAAAACCTTGGACGTGGATGTCTGCGTCTCTGATTGGTTGTGAAGCCCCAACCGACAACACCTGCTTAACTCCTTCATCCAAATTGACACCCGGGGCTCTGAGAAATATAGGCAGCATCCCTTCCAGCTCATGCATTCAGTCCTACAGCTGCCCCATAAGACACCGAGCCGCAGCTGAGCTGATCACTGATCCAAGGTGAACCCCTCACACACGCACACGCACGCACGCACACACACACCGCAGGACCTTTGCTGGGAATCGTAGCACAGGGACGCAATGTTGGTCAAACTGGCCGTGGCGCTGCTGGTTTTGTCAGTGCTGGAGCAAGTGGTGGGATCGGATAATATAGATATCCACGACAGCCTCCCGGAGAAGCCTGCGAGCCAGAAAGGACGCCTCTCCCTGCAGAATACAGGTAAGAACTACAAGTGTCAGTGGAGATAAGGAATGGGAAGATTCGGTGATGCAACTGCGCGCACATCTCCGTGGGGTTTGTCCGTACACGTGTTTCGGTGGCTGAAAATTAAACCTTGCTGGGGACCCCTCCGGGCGATTTGATCAATCCGCAGCTTTTAAATTAAATCCAGGCGCCGTGCTGCACACTAGTGACCCTTTTTCGATTATTCAGAAAGACGATATCTTGTAAATACTCTCAGACAGAAACTCAATATGTTAGTAAACTATGAATAGATCGGCACAAGGTAATAGGTAATGTATACGGCAGCGCATCTAGGTGTGCTTGCGTGCTGGTGTACGTGTGCGCGCGTCATGGATGACAGTATCAGTGTCTTCTGGAAACAATCTGCATGTGTTGTGTCTCCAATCAATGCTGTGTGATGTGTTCAAGCAGGCTAGTAGAGCAGTCATGATTGTAGTAGTGTGGCTAAAGAAGAGCAGGAGTTTATTTCTTGACCCAATCTTCTGGGGGAAATATAGCGTAGAAACCATCCAAAGACACTCGTCTAACACACAGCACTAACCACATTGGACTACTGCCTTTTCGTTCAAACTGCTGGTTTATATTGGCTGATTTGTCGTCGTCCACCCCCCCCTTAGTGAGAGCATAACTTGCGCCACACCACGTGAACCTGTGTCAAAAATATTACAGCATTGGAATAAAAACTATAAGGACAAACTCCAATGCAGGTCTCACAGCAGAGACCCTGGTAACACCACTGTGTAATTCAATGCACGTTGCGGCCAGGCTCGTACGATCCAAGCGCATTCCCGTGATGCCAAAACAAGCACTGCTGACGGCGGCTCACTTTTCCTGCGCACTAAAGTTCAACTCAGTGCCTACAAACTCTGCCCCTTCCCCCTACCACCCCCAACAGAGGCTCTTTGTTGACAAGCGTGATTCTTAATAAATCCCATTTAATCCTGTATTTGCTTCACCTTTACGCGCCTGATGCGCACTTCCGACTGAAGGAAAACATTTTCTTACGCCCTTCAGTTATCAGCTTCGAGGCAGATAACGCGTGTAATTATGTTTTCACTCGAGTCAACACTCAGGGTTTTCGGAGCCAAACTGTGTAAGGCTGGTTTTGCTGCCAACCTAACGTGCAATTTGCCAGATTAATTTAAGAGTAATGTCACATGGGGAAAGCAGTAGTTTCTGTGACAGGTTCCCTGCTGGTAGATGGCTCATAACGCATGCTATTACACAGCAATTTTGGGCTAAAAGAGACCTTAACTTTCACATGGTAATTTCTGTCCTCAGACATCTGTTTTATTCCTGTCTTTTGTGGCCACTATAAAGAGGAAATGTCATTTTGGAGCCAGCCAGTGGTGTGCAGAAGCTCATATTATGTGTTCACATGACATATACTTAGATATTTTGCAAGTTGTTTTGCCTGCATGGCGTCTGTTTTACCCCTTCATAGCTAATGATGCACATTTTTTATACTGCCGATTTACTGTGCAGTTCATCGTTGAATGCAAAAATTGAGAGACTTGTTGATGCACATTTATAGAAACGACTGCATTTGTGTTTTCATCCACTCAGTAGCAGTCAAGGCTATATCTGCAATGCACCATCCCATCTCAATGCTAGGCAATGCAGATGGACTGCGGTGCAGAATGACACAGTAATATCTGTCACCAGTCACAGTGTTCCTCTGCAGGAACCCCTCAGCCTGGGAAATTAGACTTCTCTCCCTTCCCTCCACCCGCCCTGCATCCCTTTTCTCTCTCTGACTCTATGTCATGAACACACAAGCAAGCGCCTGTGTCTGTGGTAATAGTCGTACGCCACATCAGCTTTGTGATTTCGTGCAGCAATATGAAGTGGAGTTGTGTCTTCCAGCAGTAAAACTGTAACAATGTGCTGCCGTCTTTGCTGTGAACAGACAATAAGGTCCCTCTCCTAACCTGTTCTCTCTTTCCAGCTGAGATCCAGCACTGCCTGGTGAGTGCAGGGGATGTCGGCTGTGGTGTGTTTGAGTGCTTTGAGAATAACTCCTGCGAGATACGAGGGCTGCAGGAAATCTGCATGACGTTCCTGCACAACGCTGGCAAATTTGACTCTCAGGTACTAAACTAGTCTGTTTGCAAAAATGGTATAACCAGAGGCAACATTCCTCTTCACCGCTCCACACTTGTCATTTATGCACAGATGTGTTTACTTGTTCTTTTTGTATTATATATATACATACCCACATTTCCTAGAAGTACGATCATGAATGTACGGTTCCCCTATTCTCTTTTCCTCTCTTGGGAGGTTCCCTTCCCTCTCATTGGACTGGTGCATGTACAGTTGGGATCAGGGGTCATGAGCCAATTGGCCGTACGCCTAGCGGACGCCGAAGACCTGCCAAGCCAGGCCTGACTGGGGTCTTAACATGTCTCTAGGATCACATTCTGGGAATCTTTGGCAGTCAAATCATGCACAATTTACTGCTATTCACACAGCATTTCTCCACCCCAATACAGTTACACACTCAAAACAAGTTTGCTTTAACACAACTGCACATATTCACAAAATCTGCCTAAACGGGTGAAGTTCTCGAAAGTAGCAACATTATATTTTAATATGTTAAAGAAATACCTGAAGGCTTTTCTTTGGCTGACATGATCCAACAACTTCAGCTTGTCTTGAGAGTTTGCTCACAGTTTCATCTCTGCTGTGTTTTATAGGGGAAATCCTTCATCAAGGATGCTCTGAAATGTATGGCACATGGGCTACGGCACAAGTTCAGCTGCATCAGCAGGAAGTGTGTGTCCATTAAAGAGATGGTGTTCCAGCTCCAGAGAGAGTGCTACATCAAACATAACCTGTGCTCTGCGGCTAAGGACAATGTGGCCGTCATGGTGGAGATGATCCATTTTCAAGATCTCTTTCCTAAAGGGTGAGTGGCTACTCCGGACTGCATGTTTGGATAGATTTATTTGGCCTGTCCCTTCTTCTTATCAAATCTCTGCTTGTGTACCTTCCCTACCTCCCTGTTCTGTTATTTCATGTATAGTAATAGTGCCATCCCATTTATTCCTGTTGTTTCCTAGACATTGGTCTTTATTGTGCTTCCAAATCACAAGCTTCATGTGAGTTATCTGCCTCTCTCTGCCCAGCCCATACGTGGAGCTGGTGAATATTCTCCTGAGTTGCGGAGAGGAGGTGAAGGAGGCGTTGACACGGAGCGTGCGGCTACAGTGCGAGCAGAACTGGGGGGCTTTGTGTGACAGCCTGAGCCTCTGCTCCTCCCTCGCCCCTTCTCCAGCCGGCTCTGCCGTCGAACACCACCGCCAGCCCTTGACCTCCCACCCTGAGTTGGAGCTCCCTCGCCCTCCGCGGCAAGGCGAAAAGGACAAACTGGCTAAAGCGGCTTTCAATGCTCACCCACGCAATCGCAGTCAGGGACCCCGCCGCCAGAGCCCAGAGGCTGGACTCGTGGCTGAGCAGGAAGACCCTGAGGCCACCGACATCCGGAGGTGAAAGCGCAGGAGACTGTCCCGACCTTTGACCCCATACAACGTTTAAAAACCACACTTGCAGACTTATGCACACAAACACAAATGAACACACCCTCACACACAAAAACACACTCTCGCACACTTCTTCAAACACACACACACAAATTCCCAGACAGACTGAGCAGAAGGAAACAAGCCCCAACCTTTTCCTGTCCTTATTCCGCCCTCTCCAGTCATTCCAGCAGTCCCACATGGTAAACTTTCAGGGTAATTGTGGTGTAGCTTGTATTGTTATGCCAGACTGTAGGCCACTATTTTTTTAGAAATTGAATAATAATTGTAATTATCATGATTATTTCATCTGTTAGGACTATTTAGGCTCTAATATAGCATTTCTCAAATCATACTTACTGTAAGATTTGATTATATTTGTATTATTTATTTTATTCTGTATGCAATGTTGAAGTATCAAAATGTACATAGAAATATACCTATCTATATTTATATAAACATGCATAAATATAGTTGCAATACTGATATACTATAGATCACATAGTATATGGCGTGCTGTCTGTCGTTCTCTTCACAGTATTGCACCCATCACACATTGGTCTGTAGATATGTAACATACACCATTTGTGGTTTCAAAAGTGGGAATGTGTATTATAATTATAGATACTTGATGATTAAATACAAAATTGTACAGGTTTCAAGTCCAGTTCTGGCACATATGAATTGTAGTGCATGATGGCCACGAAGCCAACAAACTTGTGCAAGTGAAAATCCACTCTAAAGAGGATGCACATGTAATACTATGAATATGGACATTTCACACTTGTATGTATTGATAAGTCTCTCACAAAGCTAATAATAAGAGAGCCGAGATTAATCTCTGATGTCATCCAGCACTGCTGTCTGGACAGCAATGAATGGGAGACATGGACTCTTTGTTATTTTTATCAAAAAGTGTCACGGCGCTCCCATTCATTGTTAATGGAGCTTCAGAAACTCTGCCCTGGTGACATCACAGATTAATTTCATGTTTATTCTTTCAGGAGACATTATTGTTCTTTTCCACAAGCAAGAATTTAACTGTCAAATCTTATACATTGGTTTTCCATCTAGCTATTGGTGAACTGCAGCAAAGAGAGGATGTTCAATCAAGTCCTTTTCAAATGTAAAATCACACACATCAAGGTGCCTAAACTTGTTATTGTCCACAGTGACCGCCTCTCTGTGATTTAAGTGAATGGATGATACTGTGTCATGGGGAGATTTAATGTTGAAGCTATTTAACGATGATGTTGAGCCACAGAAGTCTTAGATGTTGCACTTTGGATGATTGTTAGTCCGTGTTGGACTGCTGCAGGTTAAGAAATAAGACCAGGTTTCTAGAGCAGTCGCCCTCTAATCAGAGCTAACTGTACAAGACATTTAATTTGATCAAACCTGGTTTCTTTATCAACTAAAGCACCAAGCCTCTATCCCAGCATGCCCCTTAGGACCAGATTGAGCCCCTTCTTCAGAAGATTGAGGTGTCCCAATGGGCAGGAAAGAGGCTTTAAAGAAACCCTCCAGATCTCTAAATCATCCCTTATCCCTCTCTGGTCCCTTACCTAGTTCAGGAGAGACATGAAGGCCTGTTATTCTACCCGTTAGAGCCGCAGGCAACGCAGCAAGGAACCAGGAACTGGGTTAAGTCCACACACGGGGGCTCTGGCGCTGTTATTCTAAATGTTGTATTTACCGAGGCCACCAGAGAATTCCTCTGGGCCACAGCCAAGAGCGAGCAACTCGGAGAGGCAAAGAGGAGTGCAGAGAAAAAGGAGACTTTTTTTTAATGTGATGATTCACTCCATCTTGACTTCTCCTAGTACTCTTCTTCTCTCCCTGCTTTAATTCACAGACACTTATTTTGACCATTTCAGGCCAGTCTTACTCTTTAAGCTGCGGAAGTGCAGCTTGTGAGCACATTACACCACATGCCGGGGAGCGATTGGTGCAAAAAAAAGAAGCTAAAACCTGCGCAGACTTTGTGGCTCAGTTTTTTTCCTACTTTATTTTCCTGATGTACTTACATTCAGGTTATTTCCTCCCAATCCTTTAGAGAGTATTATAAGCTCTGTGGATTTGAATCATCAGTGAGGCTTTCAGGCTTTTCTTTTTTTATTGGAAGTTGGGATTCCTGTGACATCCCAGCATGAGACATAAGCTAATCCTATTGAGAATGTACTGTATGTGTGTGTAAAGTAACAATCTGTTCAGCTCTGTCATTAGGTTTGATATGGCTTTTTGTAATAATGTAGTGGCTTGAATGGCTTTTTCTTTATGTGTTCAGAGGAAATAAAACTAACCACGTTTCCGGTATTGTTAGTGCTCCATCACGACGTGTTTTCCTCCGTTAAGCACAAGGACTCTTCTTCCACCGCTGAAAATACAGAACATGGTCTAGAAGTTTGTAACTCACCTAAGACATTGGGCATATGATCCTACAAATATCTTTGGACTCATGAAGTCAAATGTATCTTGTTATCATTAAAGTATTTTTGTCTGTATTTTGTACATGTGTCTATCACTATAGTATTTATTTAACCCTCCGGTTTTTCCCTTGCTTTGGTGTTCGTGGTCAAATTTGACCTGTCTGTTTTATGCTCTTACAACCATTAATCATCACCACATTTTATCTAACAGCCTTTTAAGCTGTAAACAATGTATCAGACTGGTTTACATAAATAACTGCATTACATATACAAAGAATAGACACTGGTAATGTATTACAAAATGAATATTTAGTCGATTTTGGTGTGTGCTTTCTGATGAAAGAACCTTATCTAGGGTTTCCTATTCATTTCCTATGGCGGTCATCTTTGACCAGGTACATACGTGTTAAAAAGTTGATGAGACCACTCAAAATTAAATTAAACAAATCAGCAAAGATGTGTTCAAAGATATCATAAGGCCTTCAAATGTAAAACAGAACATTTATGATTGATGAAAGTAGTAAATCTTACCCGAACCGAACAGAAGGATTTCATTGAAGTATGGCATAAACACCATGACAAACACATTCTTGTGGCACAGTATCAGATAAGAAGGTTGTCTCAGGTATACACACAAGTTAAAAGACACCCCATCTGCCTCCGTCTAACTTGACGCCTCTGACAGTGAAATACAGACTGTGTTTAAAGTTTCAAGGACTGGAAATATCCTCCCTTTTGAAAGGCCTAAACACTGATGTCAGCTGCTCTGGATTGTAGTCTATGCTTGGGCTTGGTTCAGGGTGTCAGTTTTTATGAGTTGTCCCCACAGTGTACATTGTCTCACTAAACATTTACACAGTGCTCTGATTTGAATGGTGGACTTCCAACTGTCCTTCTGCAGCTTTAAGTCATTCTAGGGTCAAGTTAAGTGTGCTGTGGCCATTTGCCCATACATGGGAATGTGAGACACAAAACCCTTGGTTCGGTTTTTTGTATGTGTCTACGGTGTGGCAGGAAAGATAAAAAGCAACATGCCACATAACGTATCTTACAACCTAAGTAAGTGGTATCAGCACCTCTGCAGTTCATTGTGAATATGCCACAATGCCACAGTTAGCCAGCATTCTCTGAGTGTGTAGTGAAAGTAAATGACCACTGGGTGGTGACATTTCTCTTTTTATTGACTAAAATGCATATAGTGGGAGCATGAGAACATATTTAATTCAATATGGGTTGTTTTACTTCATGGAAGCTGCAAATGTTTTTAAAGCTGAAAATGTATAGTTATGAACCCTCTCTAAGGTGTAATCCCTTTTTTCATACTTTGGTTCACCTGGTCTTTTTGTGTAGAAATCCTTGTATAACCTCAACCCTGAAAGGCATAATCAAGTAGTATACATATTTATTTTCAGGACAAACTAAGCTATCACCATATGTTGGATACAAGGATGTCACATTAAGGAAGCATTGGTTGTCTCTTATAATTAGTTCTAAAAAGTGAATCTGAAGTGTCTAAGCTTCCTGTTATGCTCTGTTATCTTTGATTACAGGAAGTACATTACAATAGTATGTCTCTAAACTACCTACACTGAACAAAAATATAAATGCAACACTTTTGTTTTTGCTCCCATTTTTCATGAGATGAACTCAAAGATCTAAAACATTTTCTATATACACAAAATAACCATTTCTCTCAAATATTGTTCACAAATCTGAAAAAAATCTGTGATAGTGAGCACTTCTCCTTTGCCGAGATAATCCATCCCACCTCACAGGTGTGGCATATCAAGATGCTGATTAGACAGCATGATTATTGCACAGGTGTGCCTTAGGCGGGCCACAATAAAAGGCCACTCTGAAACGTGCAGTTTTGCTTTATTGGGGGGGTCTGGGGGGGTCTGGGGGGGTCCGAAAACCAGTCAGTAACTGGTGTGACCACCATTTGCCTCACGCAGTGCAACACATCTCCTTCGCATAGAGTTGATCATGTTGTTGATTGTGGCCTGTGGAATGTTGGTCCACTCCTCTTCAATGGCTGTGCGAAGTTGCTGGATATTGGCAGGAACTGGAACACGCTGTCGTATACGCCGATCCAGAGCATCCCAAACATGCTCAATGGGTGACATGTCCGGTGAGTATGCTGGCCATGCAAGAACTGGGATGTTTTCAGCCTCCAGGAATTGTGTACAGATCCTTGCAACATGGGGCCGTGCATTATCATGCTGCAACATGAGGTGATGGTCGTGGATGAATGGCACAACAATGGGCCTCAGGATCTCGTCACGGTATCTCTGTGCATTCACAATGCCATCAATAAAATGCACCTGTGTTCGTCGTCCATAACATACGCCTGCCCATACCATAACCACACCACCACCATGGGCCACTCGATTCACAACATTGACATCAGAAAACCGCTCACCCACACGACGCCACACACGCTGTCTGCCATCTGCCCTGAACAGTGAAAACCGGGATTCATCCGTGAAGAGAACACCTCTCCAACGTGCCAGACGCCATCGAATGTGAGCATTTGCCCACTCAAGTCGGTTACGACGACGAACTGGAGTCAGGTCGAGACCCCGATGAGGACGACGAGCATGCAGATGAGCTTCCCTGAGACGGTTTCTGACAGTTTGTGCAGAAATTCTTTGGTTATGCAAACCGATTGTTGCAGCAGTTGTCGGAGTGGCTGGTCTCAGACGATCTTGGAGGTGAACATGCTGGATGTGGAGGTCCTGGGTTGGTGTGGTTACACGTGGTCTGCGGTTGTGAGGCCGGTTGGATGTACTGCCAAATCCTCTGAAACGCCTTTGGAGACGGCTTATGGTAGAGAAATGAACATTCAATTCACGGGCAACAGCTCTGGTGGACATTCCTGCTGTCAGCATGCCAATTGCACGCTCCCTCAAAACTTGCGACATCTGTGGCATTGTGCTGTGTGATACAACTGAACATTTCAGAGTGGCCTTTTATTGTGGCCAGCCTAAGGCTCACCTGTGCAATAATCATGCTGTCTAATCAGCATCTTGATATGCCACACCTGTGAGGTGGGATGGATTATCTCGGCAAAGGAGAAGTGCTCACTATCACAGATTATTTCAGATTTGTGAACAATATTTGAGAGAAATGGTTATTTTGTGTATATAGAAAATGTTTTAGATCTTTGAGTTCATCTCATGAAAAATGGGAGCAAAAACAAAAGTGTTGCATTTATATTTTTGTTCAGTGTATTTAGGAACAACCAATGCATTTGAATTATGTTTTACATTAATGGAGGACTCGATGAAGTTGAGTCATCACGAGGGCTCAGCCTGTTGAAACACTATAATGTCTTCTGTGGCTCTAGAGGAGCTTTCTAATGTTCCAAACTTCCCTGATGACATTATAAGGATTATCAGAGTTTAGGTGACAATACTATTAATTTGTGTAATGAGAAGTCTAGCATTGTTGGACTTTGACCCAGATAAGAGTCTAAGAATCAGGATATCACATCCTCTACTGCTTCAGTTTCACCCTGGTATCACCAAATTACATGCGAGTAACAGGTCAATTTCTTAAGTATTCTTAAGCATGTTATCACTGCGCGTCCTTTTGCTTAACTTTCACTTTCATAATTTTACTCCATGACAAAAATCAGGTAAGGTAGTATAAAGAAATTAAAACTGTATCAACTTATTTATGATGAAAGATCAGGACTGTTTGTGTGTCATTGACTTATTGACATTGACTAATTAACTTACATAGGAAACTTAAAGCTTCAGAAGGTAACATTGTAGAAGCCAACACAAGTAAACAAGCTTTTTTTAATATATCCATCTGAAAAACCCAACCCGATGTTGCCAACATTTTTACAATGAAAGTAGCTAGCAGCACTAGCTCCAAAGATTGCTACATCTAGCAAGAAAGACGCAATTTTGGCAACACTGAAAGCCTGTCCCTTCAAGCCTCCGTCCAAGGTCACTCTCCAGTAATTATCATTATGAATGTAATAATATCTTAATGAACATAAAAGACTAACAGGGCTTAGTTTGAACAGCTGTCAGGCTAACAGCTTGTCGTAGACTCCAGTGACATGCAATGAGTGCATGGGCAGGCAAGTAGACTTATAAAAGTCCTGCAACATCGACATTTACCAGATTCTTTTTTTTGACAAAGCATTAGATGTATTCATTGTCGTCAGGATGCGAAGAGTGTTTCAACAAATACGCACCCATCCTGGCTTTAATTCAACATACTTATTTTAACCCGAACTGTGATGTTTTTCTGTTTTTTCAAGTAGTTTTTTTGCAGCATACTCCTCAAACACCCATTAGATCCTGTTGACAGTTTCTTCTTTTCAATTCTGTACCCTGTGAGTCCCCAATCTTTACGTAACCCCTTGATGAAATAACACACTTGATACGTGGGATAAAATCTCCAATTTTAGTTTTAAACTACAACTTTTCTTGTTTAGAAAAACATTGCAGGAATGACTGCACCATACTACTTTTGTGTTTATCCTAATATTACTAACTCATTTCCAAATACATTGGCACCGTCCTAACGGAAATGTGAGCTACAGTATATGCCAACACTCAAATTAATGCTGACATATTTGCCTGTACATCGAAAACTGTGAGTGTTAGTTACGCTACAGTCAGGGAGCTGATATAAAGGCCACAGAGTGGAGTGGGATACATTGTGTAAGAGAAATTATGCTTTGTCACAATGTTGTAACAATGCATTGCGTCTGATACCGATGACCTCCTGGCCAAACAATTGGCTGCCGGCTGGACTAGACATCTCCCAGTTTGCATGGTTGGTATGACAACCAAGCTCTATCAATATGGAGGCAGTAGATCACATCTGAGAGGAGGCTGAGCAGCAGAGAAACCTGAGACAGTCGGCCTTGTCTGCTTTGTGAACATCTACCCTGTGTTCCAGTGAGAACTAATGAATTAATGACTGGGTGCCTAAGTTCCATGGATGAATCATTAAAGAACCTTTGGGGGTGAATGGGTGCACCCCACTTCTGTCTATACTGTTGGGCCTCAGAGAGAAGAATGTCCTATGGTACAACACACATTTTATAAACTGC